TGAGGTTTACCACAAATCTTTAATCCGCGCAGCTTCAGTTCTGGGGGTTGTTGATAACTTCATTGCTTTTAATTGTCTCTAAGTGTTTATGCATATTTGATCGAAGTCATTGGGATAAACAAAAACCAACATTAAATGTTAGGCCACACTTTGTAGATGCACACACAACAGAACCCAACACCCCAGGGACAGGCTTAGAAACCTGAGTGAATATTCAAGAGTGCCTTGCAGTGAATTGTTTAATTATTGTGTTTCATCCAGAATTGAAATCTTTAAGGAAGCATTTTTCTCTTCCAATATTCCATAACAGAACATCCTATTAAAATTCAAATTCGGTCCAATTAGATAGGCTGAGCTCTGTGATTTCCCTGTGCCACTCCCTGCAGCAGAGAGCAGATGTCAAGCGAGGAGAACACACAGCCCCTGGGTCTCAGTGAATGGTGGGGATGGATGTTAACAGGTCATCGCGAGTAAGATGAGTGTTGCTGAGGGGGGGATGTCAGGGCCGCTGCGTGCAGTTGTGCAGGGTGTGTGGTGGGGGAGGGCTTCGCTTGCCTCCCGGACCTTATCGATTTGTATGTTTCTCAGGACAGTTTTCTGAAAGATGGCACCAGAGTTTCCTGTTATAATAAAATCAATGTAATTTAAAGATTGACAGAAACAAAGCATGTATTATGAGAAAGGGCTGTCTTTTCTAATTCACAAAATGGCACCACACAGGTGTGAGGAGGGCCCGTGTTGAGTGGGAAGAGAGCTGAGAGATTAGGCTGTTTAACCTCCTCTTCAGGCCAGGAAAGGCCTCCTGAGGTGAGAGAGCTTGTCTGAGACCAGAAGGATGGGCAGTTTAAAATTTTATTACAAACTTCACAGAATATCTAACTTAAATAAATAAACAGCTTCTTCAAAAAAGATTCTCAAATCGCAGTTGGATCTTAAAGAAATCTGTCACTGGCCTCTGCAGCTAATCTTCAAGTAAACTGAAGTGCTGGGAGGCCAGAGCATGAAGATGGCGAGTTGCACACATCTAGGTCGCTATGCTTTGCTTCCTACAAACTCCTGTACCTGTTTCTTAAAATGGGTTTTATCTTGGTTTGTTACTTGGAAATTCTGATATTTTCCTCAATGTGGTTCAGTAGGGAAATGTGGAGGAATTTAGGGGTAATTGCTGTTTAATGGCTGAGCAAATGAGCTGAGAAGATCCCACATATCTGTTCCTTGTAAATTAACCACTGCAATAGATAAGGAAAATGGTTCATCCATTTTAGAGAATTTAACCATCAGCTATCTTTAGGGTATGGGAGTAAACTCTATAGTAATATATTTCATTTTTTTGTAATAGTAATAATGACCCTAAATCACAGTGACAATAACCAGTGTTGTCATATGTCAAATCTAGTTCCTTGGTTGTTGCGTTTACTTAGTTCTTCACCGCCACCTCTGAAGTGGGAACTGGTTTATTCCCACTTTACAGATGAGCAATCTTAGGCATAAGTGGGTTTAGACAGCCCACGTGGGGTCACTGAACTTGCCAGGGCAGCACTGAGATCTGGTGCCTGGCCGAGTCTTGGAGTGCCTGCTGTTGACCATTCTACTGCCTGACTTACTGGGCTGACAGCCAGCGCGGGTTCTAGATGAAATTGGAAACCAGTGAGCTTTCCTAATTAATGGAAACACTAGTCAACATCTACAATCAACCACACTGCTGGTAACTAGCACGTTAGTTCATGTGAGTTCCGGGACCATTAAGAAAGATCTGTGGGGAGAAGAGTAAAGTGATGATACTAGGATAAAAAGGTTCCAACACTCTCTCAAACATCTGGATCCAGGCCTGGGCACTCAGAGCTGCCTGTGCACTAGGGTCCTTCCTACTGCATCGTCTCCACTTCATAGCTTACTTACGCTGAGTCTCCAGCAGGAGTTACTGTTTGTGAGCACTGCAGAAACCACTGTCCCTTGAGATGAGATGCTCCATATAAAAGCACCAACGGTCAGTAGGCTTTGGAGACTGGGTTTACTGCAGCTGCCTGAAAAGATTCACACAGTGGATGGGACTATCCCTGGGCCCTGAGAAGCCCACACTACTGAAACCTATGGAACTTTCCAAAACCCCGAAGGGTGAAGCCCTCAGTGATATGGAATTCTTTGCTTCTCAGAGCACCTATGAATTGCCCTGTAAAACTAATGTTAGAGAAATGCTGCTTGAGAGTGGGCATGACAGGGAATAAGAAGACCACATAGGGAAAGAAAGGATAGAAAGGGTGATGGCTTAGAAAGGAAGTCAGGAAGAGAAAGCAAGCTGAAATGCCCATAGTCCTCACTATAGTGCTTCTTCTGTACCAATCCTGAGAAGAGCATAAAAGATATATGTATTTTACTTATGCATTATATACACATGTGTACATAAATATACACACACACACACTTTTGTTCAGTTGATTCATACAAAAGAAGATGGAATTGGATTATACAAGACCAAGTAGCAGATCTGACATATGAGCAATCGTTATGTGGAATAAAACTAGTGTTTGTGTTTACAATACACATTATCTCCTTACTCCTAGAAAGGAAAAAAGGAACACAGTGTTTTGGTGTGAATTATACCACATAAAGAGAGAGAGAAAGGTAGAGAAAAGTATCTTTCATTTAGACTTAAGATCTAAAACTTTTTTCAGTATTTTGGATTTTAAGCGTCTTTTTTTTTTTTTTTT